ACTACAACAACCACCATCAAGAAGATACAAGTATTTATAAATAGCTGTCTTCGCAAGATACTCAACATCCATTGGCCAGATACCATCAGCAACAGCCTTCTGTGGGAGAGAACAAACCAACTTCCATTTGAAGAGGAAATTAGGAAAAGACGATGGAAATGGATAGGACATACATTACGGAAATCACCAAACTGCATCATGAGACAAGTGCTAACTTGGAATCCTGAAGGGAAGCGGAAAAGGGGAAGGCCGGAGAACAATTACGTCGGGAAATAAAATCAGATATGAGAAGGATGAATAACACTGGAAAGAGCTGGAAAGGATTGCCCAGGACAGGGTTGGATGTAGAATGCTTGTGTGCGGCCTATGCTCCTTCACGAGGAGTAACAGGAGTAAGTAGGTTGATCAACCTCGGCTTAATAAAAACGATAAACATTACGAGTTGATCCAAAATAATTGTTTTGCACAACAAACCTTTTTAAGACGAGAGATGGATAGAGTCGCTAAATAATGGAAAATCAGTGGATGTTGTCTACATAGACCGGGAAAGCATTTGATAAGGTGCCGAAAAAGAGACCACTCTAGAAGCTGGAAGGTGGATCAAGGATTTCTCGGCGGGTCGTGTACATACTGTAAGGATAATTTCCAAATGCTTCTCACGGAAACCAGTACTTAATGGAATACCGCGATGCTCCGTTTTAGGTCCTCTACTTTCTGTGATATGTGCAAATGAGTTCCCGAGCATTGTTAAGTCCTCGGTGTTGATGATGTTAAAAGTTGAAGAGAAATAAGAGAAAATACCAGCACACACTCACTTCAGGCTGATTTGGATGTTCTGGTTAGTTGATTTAAAGTCTCTTCAATGTCTATCAACGCGTTCAAGTGTGCCTGCATTCATAATGAAGAAACAGGGACAAATAGCTAGAGGTTTGGTGAAGTACTGGTTCCCATAGTCCTGTCTCACAATGACCTTGGGCTAACAGTGAGCCAAAGTCTTAGGACCACGCCTCGCCGCTGTGCAGTCGTAGCTAAGGGGTTCAGTATCGCAAGAATTTTAGATATATATTCACAACGTTGGACACAGGCATGTTCACTAAATCATACTCAAGGTGGCTTAGATACAGAGGTAAAAAGTACTCGTGTAATACTGGAATTCCGAAGTTTTCCGTGTACTGGTGGACTCGGAAAGTAAGATATTTTTACTGTGTCCCATCATAAATTAAAAGATGATCTGATTTTGATGTATAGAATACTAAGAAATGGTTTTAAACGTGACATCTTTCTTTTCCTTCTTGCTAGATCTAAACACTTAAGAGGATACAGAAAGACGGGCTAAATGTCCAGTACGAATAAAGTGAATCTCAAGTAATGACCTAGGGCAGGTCCATGAGATAACTTAGATACAGTAGTCTATGGAGACGAGTGTTAATCTCGGCTCGATTTCAGAGACTGTAGTCCTAAGTTGTCTCTCAATATTTATTAACCTCAGCAATCTGTATTAGTCATGGAGCATTAGAACATGTAACCTCCCCCAGTACATATATAGTCAACGTAAGCGTCTGACCTAATTTTGAAAGGTACAGAGGGACGTGGAGTTATGACTCCCCGTCGTAGGTCATTCAACAACTTACTGATTCGAACCAAGAAAAAAGCCTGCTAAAATTACTGTGGGAGCTGCTTTTCGTTCCTTATAGAACGGATATCCATTAATGCTTAGCTTGGTACCAAACCGCATAAATGATCCTAGGTGCAAGAGGATCATGAGCCACATATTTAATCATCACCACATCTCTCTCATGTTCAGCCCTACTTCACAGCCGAGGAATTCGAATTCGTGGAACTTAATATTCTGGAAAGAAAACTCAGAATGTAGTACGCTTTATTTTCTCAAGAGTTTCAATTAGAAGCGACATTTAGAGTGTTGCCTATACTCTCATCTATGTTGGGAAGGGACTGCTGGAAGTGTTCATAAAGTAAGAGGTATATGGGTCACTACCGATAAGGATTAACATTTCATTTGCAGATACCTTAACAGGAAAAAAAGCTTTCCACAGTTCAAAATCATATCATATTGAAATATTAAAAAAAATCGAAATGTCAAAGAGACCTTGCATATCCTTTCAAGTTTCGGTGTTATCCATTTATTTCGAGAATTCACATTAGGAGGTAATTCGTCAATGAACAATAAGAGTACTTCAACGATAAAGCTTTGTGCTGCTTCGGTTTATACTGTAAGCTATTCAGACAGAGTGATTCCTGACAGATTGTGACCTCCTTCAATGAGAAAATCCTGGAGCCAATTCATCATGCACACACTGGTAGGACATATTTCAGTTTCTACAAACGAATTCGATGAACGGCTTCAGAATGAAGAATAACAGAGGGCCTATTCTCACATATTACTGCTTCCCACGAAAAAGATTCACTAGTTCCAGGTGGTCAGTAGATATTTATTGTAAGACCTCCTTGGAAGAAATCCATGTTTAGTTGCGAGTGAGATAGACTTATTGAGAAGAGCTTTTAAGTGCGACTCACGATCAATCTTTCCGATGACCTATTTAAACACTGAGAGCGGGGAAGATGATCAGCCAAGCAGAACTGATAGTTATTAAGACCAAATTCCTCGTTGGCTACCAGATCTGCGTGGGCTCAATAGTCTCTTAATCTCTTTGTTCCTGGTAGTTTTTAACTCAAGAACTCTTAGTTTACTATGGAAATAATTAGAGCGGGCGCCAGGGAGGGGAGCTTATCTCTACGTGAATAACTAGGTTGGAATTCCATAACTAGTGGCTTAGTAACCTGGTTTTTTGCGCGATGTATATCTTAAGAGCCCTGATCCAGTGCATTCAGTGCGAGACTTGCACTTTACTTCGTAGGGCTACGCAAAACGCTTACTTCCCAAAGAATGTATCAGACGAGTTTGAAAAGCTATTACGTCCCGTTTGAATCCCAGGGTACATTCGTTGCATGACACGTTATCAGATGTCAGTTTACCTATATTGTCTAAAGAAAAAAACTGTTCAAGTCACTAGGGTTCACGCCAGTGATTTCGAATGTTGGGGCAAACTAATCCCCAAAATAAATAGTTCTGTAAGTCTTTGATATTGGTACTGACCTCATTGATTTTACTAGGCAAACCCTAGCTGAAAACGCTCCATCACACACCCGTACCAGATCATGAATGGGTACGCCGTGCTGCTCATCCATTACAACTGTGAGCCAGTTTAGACCAAACACATTTCGATATATCGATAGCTTTCCAAATATATATTCCAACCCCTTCATCTCTGACTTCTGATTTGACTTTGTTGGTACACTTCAGTTACAAAGCTGTTACTTGTAAAGGCGTTACCAAAATGTGGATACCCGGAACATCTTTACGACTATTAGACTTTAACCAGGAGGAGGACGTAAAAGCCTTTTCTCTTATCTGGCAAACGGCAGTATGGAATCGACGGATTGCTCAGCGGTGTCCTTAATAAAATTCCGTCTTCCATTTAGTTTCACCCTGTCTGAAGGGTTTGAAAAATCAGTGTACTGTGACACAGATTATATGCTCGTATACAAAGTGCAGCTAGCGTCTATAAACTGAAAATAATCACAAAAAGTTTCTGACTTCAAAGTACAACTGGGTGCATGTCAAAAGTTGTTCGACTAGGCTTAAAGAAAGCAACAACCACCTTTCCAGTTTTCAAGGCAATGGTGTCGAATTGAGTGGCACCATGACTGAGTTTAATGCCCTTTTGATGTTAGATCACTTAGTTCAGAGAGTAGAACTACTGAAGTTGACAGAAATAGTAAAATGAATGGATTAATTTAAATGTAATTTATGGGAGAGAAGACGGTCTTCTTGAAGATCTATTTTCAAACCACAAAATGAAATGTTTATTTGACACAAAATGACTTTCCTGTAGATGCATTGCATAACATTAGAAGTGCGTTAATTTTCTTCCTACTTTGATGAGTACTGAAAGCAGCTCTGATGATGATTTCAATTCTCAAGGAATCTACAGTCGCCTAATTGCCCTGAGAAACAAAGCTTGTGTGTTTGTAGTGAGCTTTCTCTCTCCAAATCTAAAACTCTGCTTCATCGGTGGTTTGTATCAACGCTTGAACAAATGACAAGGAGTGAAGTAGATGAGCACGGCAAACATTGTACTTACTCATGAAGTTTCATCAGCTTCAATCAGTGTTTGACAAAACCTTAGTACGAATTAGGAGAGTCTAATTTTTTTTAGCTGAATTGTGTCACATGTGGCGTAGGTAGGATGGCTGTCTGACAATAAAAGTGCGAGTTTAATTAGCAGCAGTCCGCTCAGTTCGTCATTATAGTTATTGAAAGTGGCTCTCAAAAATAAAAAATATCCGTAGATAACTTTTATTTCATCATAGATTCCTTTATAACATCGCTATTGGACTTAACTACTTGGTTGTGATACGAGTAGTTGTCGTAATCAGTGATCAGAAACTTCCTTTATTTTAGTGCACTTGCGTATTACGGTATATAATTCCACTTGTGAGATACGCTGAAACATGTTCACTGATCCTAGGTAAAAATACCTTATTTCAAAAACAGTTTTAATTGAGAAGAAATCTCATTTTTCGCTCAGGAGAATTCAGACTTTTCCTTCAAGTGGTTTTGTGTGACTGGCTTGGAAAGTTCTAGAAGCATCTGTCCCCTAATGATTCTCAACATTTCGACGCATGTCAGCTGAGAGTCATTAGTCAGAGCACAAAAGTCATTGCATTTAACGACTTCAGGTGTTTTGAGAACGAGTAACGACTCTCTAATTAGTGATGACCCTATCATGTTCCTAGGGTGAAACTGTATATAAATGCATGTGATATATTTCCAGTTTATAACCTGAAGTGCGCATGAACTGTCATAACGGTGATAGTAGAATTATTCACAACATAACGGAAAATCTCCAATTTTATTGCTGCTGTAAACTTGAACATAATATAAGTTACCATGTCTCTCTCTTTTAATCGGTAATGTCACTAGCGGCGTTTTCGTAAACTGTTCGTTTTTTTAGTTTCTGTGCTGAAACCTATATTTCTGGAAGTAAGTGTGTTGATTATAGTTTACTGCTCATAGTTATAGTTTAATTGACTCTTTCAACATCATTTTGAATCATATGGATGTGATGCTATATCGTAGCATCCTTTTAATTTGATTGATTACATGTACAATAATACTCAAGGGTACCACCACCGTCTTCTTTTGAAAATACAATGTATAAGTAGTTATTTCTTTTCTCCAGGATTTTCCATCACGATTGGTTCTTTCTGATATTTTTAGAAAAAAAAAACACTTTTGAGATCGTTATACGTAAAAATACTTTTGTGACATATCGACACATATATGTACATACTTGTGTATGCTGAAACCCTACCAAGTGTGTGGATTTTGTCATTTATTCCACTTCGAATCAATGTATTGGGCCCGGTGAGCTATGTACATACATATTGACCTTATAGAGTCTGTGGAAGATACATCAAAAGCCTGACCGTATTCCAAGTTGTTATGAGTTCTTTTAGATATTAGCAGTGGTCAACATTCGAAACACCATTCGCACTAAATTTCCTGCTGTGTCTTGCGTCATCGACAACATACGATACTTTCAGTCTTCAGTAACAAGTGTAGGAGGTCTGTCGACCTATATCAATCATTGCAACTCGTAACACTGTCTCGTTCTGAATAAAGCAACAGAAGGTGCTGATATCATGTGTTTTGGTGGAGAATTCCAGTACTTCGCTACTCGGCAAGAGAAACGAAACTTTAGCGTAGACTACTTGGTCTCTGTTTTCGAACTTTCTTAGAATGCCCTCTCAAATAATCAGTCCTAGACGGAAAGACAAGAATAGACATAATAATATCAATGTTGTTGTTCAGCATACGATAAACCAATATTGGTTAACCCCATAATCTGCGGTAAGATAATTGAAATAGGTTGAGGTGTCGCAATCTGTCTTCATAAGATAGGCCAGAGAGACCTTTTACCATTTTTAGTCCTTCGTCGTTGGACTCGTTCCAACATATCCGTCTCATATTTGAAACAAGGACTCACTGCTCGAATCCTATATTCCAAATGCAGGCTCACGAAAGTCGGGTATAATACTTTAAACATTCCTTCGTCCAATTGCTGAAAGACCTAAGAATAACCTATAATATTTTGAAGCCTTCGGCAGCAGCAGCCTTGCAGTTGTTCATAGTTTCGAGGTCGCTGCTTATTATGGCTTCTAAATCTTTATAGTCCATTACTTTAAGTAACACAACTACACGTATTGCATAGTGATACGAGTCATCCTAGGCTTTCATCGTAAGGTTTTCTTTATCCTAGTAATTTGTTCTTAGTTAGTGTTCATAGAAAGTAAACCTATTTGCTTTATTCATCCATAGTTTTTTTGTTTTTATGTTTTCTTGCATTTGTTAATATTACATATTTTGTACTCCAAAGTGTAAAAGCATTGCTTTTTTTTCTAAATATATGTGCCATTTCATACCGTTTAATCTTTCTTCGTTTTGATGTGTTAATTATTATTATTGTCTGAACAATAGTCTTAAATCTGTTGGAGAGAGGTTCTAGTAAACAAAGATTATTTTTTTACATACATTAAGCTTCATTGGTTATAACTTATCACCTGGATTCGTATCCCGGTAAAATATAGTCTGAATCTATTGACGGATTATTTCTATTGCCACACTCTAAAATTACTGTCACGAGTTGAGAGTTGTGAAGTTTTTCGATAAGTGTACAACAGATCTTTTGTACTTCAAATTATCATGTGTTATCAGTCTGGTTTTAATGTAATTTTGACATAATAATGGACCATGTTCTAACGTGAACAAACCAATTTTCAACTCATTGATCCAGTTAAAAAATAAGGGTTGCAGACTCAAAAGCTTAAATTGGTAAAAAAAACTGTATGTCTTGCCTAGAACATATAAACTGTAAATTTTTCTACTAAAATTACCAATATCTTTACTTTCAGGTTATGTCTTTGGGTAATGAATGGCATCCGTTGGTGACACACAGATCCGAAAACAATTACGGGCTTGCAGGCGCCGTCAGAGACGTTATCTAAGTTTGAAAAGTTCTAAATCTTCCAACAAAAGAAATTCTAGTCTTGAAAGCTCTGACACAAACTCGGAGAAAGTATACATTGTTCAGAGTATTCTCGATGAAAGAATTATTAAAGGACAGAAATACTACAAAGTGCGTTGGGAGGGATTTCCACCCGAAGCAGATAGTTGGGAACCAGAAAAAAATCTCACTAATGTATTAGATATAATTTCCGAGTTCCATAGTGGCTCAAAAAGTAGAATTTCAAAGAACTTAGATATACATAAAAATTGCCACACAGTTTTCGAAAACTCTCCAGCTTCCGTCCCAACGCCTCCTGCTACACCATGTTCAGTACTTCAAAACTCACATAATCCCTTGAGAGGCTCTAGTGAAGAGCGACAGTTGAATAAATCCATGAAACGTAAGCATTTTACGAAGTCACGCACTGGCGGGAGATATGAATATGTTCCAAAACATCAGTTAGTTGCTTCAAAGACGAAATATTTCGACGATATTCGAGATGGAAAAATCGACCTGTGTTCGAATGATCTTTATTCACGTGTTAAAACCCGCAAGCGCTGCGCTGCTGAGTCTGCTAGCAACTCCGTAAGCAATGAATCTACTCAGAGTCGAAACGGCAGCCTTCAAGGGGAGATAGAATTAGAATGTGATACCTCTATGGAGCATTTTTCAACATGTTCTCCGAAACGTGACCCAGTATCACCATCATTTTCATGTTTCGGTACAAACGAATCCCTTCGAGACTTCAGCTGCACACTTCATAATGATGAGCAGAGCCAGCCCATGTTTTCTGCAGGAGGTTCTGAAGATTATCATCCTGAAATAACGAAAAGTCTAGTTACCACAAATGTTTCTCCACCGCATCAGTCAGATATTTCGAAGTTTGATAGTAAGGCTGTTCAGTCAGAATTCCATCCAAATTCTTCAAAAGGGATATCTTGTAACCTTTATCTCTGTGATTCCATATCCAAAGTAGATATTGGGTTGTCTCCAATATCTTCACATGTGAGTCTATTGTGTATTTTGCATAAGATTTCTCTAAATTGGATTAGAGATGAATTATTTGGAATCAATAATTCATAGGTTCTAAATTTTTTATACTGAATGAAAGACATTACAAGCCGTAGAAATAATCACTTTAGTTAAATTTAACTGTGAAATTTAATCACTAATAATTAAGTTTGGTGTATACAAATGTTTATTTTTGGGTTGTGCTCCAATGATATGCATTAGCTGTTGGCGTTGATTCAACTGTACTGCGAATTTTCAACGAATATATTTGTTCCTGAATCTGGTGGTTTGATTTTAAATGTATCAATAAGTTATTAAAGTGCCTTAGAAAGTGTAAGTTTGAATCTTAGACTGAAAAATCTTAACTAAACAACGTAAATTAAAAACATACAGTTTAACCGAAACCCGTTTTGTATATAAAATAAACATGTACTTTATAACGCTAAGCTCTGTACATTTTTTGTTTTGATCACTAGTCATAAAAATTATGAGAAAAAACTGTTTATCTGTTGTTTACGGGTTCATTTTACGCCAGCACTGATTTCTAACTTGAATTAAAACAGTTTTTTCTTTTTGTTTATTAGCCATTAGATAATAAACCACTCGGGGCGTTTGAGAGAAAAAGTACCTCTTATTTTAATGTTGTGGAACAACCAGGAAATTCCCACAACCTGTATGATAAACTATATGAACGGAGCGTTTCATCACTACGCACACTTGTAAATATTTATTTTAATTTAATTCTATCTCATATTTCAAATGAAGATGAAATAACCCATAGTGAACAGCCAACCGACTTTCATCATGAGCTTAGATGTCTACCGCACTTATGTGTCTATAATCACTTAACCTCCATTCAGACACCCGGTGAATTCCTAAATGCTATCAATAACCAAAGATGGAGTCTTATCGCCACTATGCCCTCGAAAAACTTGTTTTCAGAAAGCTCTCAAGCTCAAAAAAGCAGTACTTATTCGTTGTCACCAGAAAGGACGCCTGAATCTCGCAAAAGTGATGACAAACCGGATTTAGAGGAAGATATTCGTTTCAAAGAGGATGCGTTATTGGCATGTATCACTGGGGGCGCAGGTAGACCCTTAGTTTTAGACCGACTGCTTACTTCTGGATTGGATCCTAATAAGGTTATTGAACCCAATTCTAAATGGCCATTATTAGCTTTAGCGGTTTGTTTGGGTCGTTTACATGCTGCTCAAGCATTACTTGATGCAGGTGCTAAGCCTAATTGTGTTGAACCCAACCGTCGACAACGATCAGCTCTTGGTTTAGCGATAGCAGCAGGAGATGTTGATATGGCTAACATGCTTATTTTGTCTGGAGCGAACTTTTACGAGGTATGTCTATTTTAACGTATTCATGCATTGGTTAGGTCTACAGTTTCACTTATTTGAAACCTATTCAGCATTTTACTAGTTTTAAGGAGGTTTGTTAAGACTTATGGCTGACTAATATGGCGTATGGTCTCACAACTATTTCTTGACTCCTTTTGTCCCTTTTCGTAACAACATACAGAAGGTTGATCGTTAGGGGAATATGATGATTATAATTCAAATTTATTCAGTTCAAATAATAATATATAATCCAGTGTCTAATTAATCAGAATAGTCAATATTTTAATACTTATTACGTCCCTTATATTCTGCATAAACGGTTGGTTTAATTATTGTTGATTTTAAGCTTGTCACTTGGAGCTGTAGGTTTAATTCCATTTCAGATCTTGATGAAATAAAATACAGTCCAATTGCTGCAAGAGATCAATTGAATCCCCTTTAACAGCATTTTTTATCATTTAGGCCACCTGTTTTAAAAGTACATCACTAAATTATCTTAGTACTACTTTGATTAACACTTTCGGACGTCTACTTGTCAAAAAAATATTCAATTAGCCAATATATACAAACTTATCACGTTACTTCTCTAATATCACTAGCTTATTGACTCATCACCGTTCACGATTGCTGATCGAGCTTATCTACCTGACTTCAACTACTTTTCCACCCATCTTTTCTTGCAGATTATAGAAATGGTTTAAATACTCGGCTTCCAGCCGTTAATTGATTCATTAAGACCCACTTCATTCACTTAAGTATAAGTTGGTAGCTAGTATCCTTTGACAACATTGGTAACCCTCAAAAGTACTTGGTAGATTGGTATGGTCAATTCAAGTTTTCTTAACATCACTTATACGCCATGCTAAGGTGTCAGTCAGTCAGCTACAACGTGGGACCAGGCATATATATGCATCGGTCCAAGTTGCCATACCTCATTAACACAACAAGATGAACACCGGATTCATAAAAGTAGTTAATTCAGAGGTGGTAATATATAAAAGAAAGATTGCAATAAGGATATGGTACAGCAAGAAAGAATTAGTTCGTAGAATAGTAATCAATGTTCTACTAAACACCTGTCTGCTAAGCATGCATATATATATATATATACTTTATGACTCCTGTTTTGTTCTCGAAGGATTTAGTTTTAAAATCGTAGTCTCGAAACAACTCCTAGATGTATGAAATGGGGAATGTTAGTTAAGTCATCAAAGAGCGAGCTTAGGCTTACCTGAAATGCACGTCGATACACGTACCGCAAAAACTATGCATAGCCTCATAAAATCTAGCTGACCACTTTTCTTAGCAGCAAAAAATGAGGTCAAGAAGAAAACGATTACTCAAACGATTAAGAAGGTTATCATTAAACCTGGAAATAAAAAAATATATAATGATAAAGTACTCAAAATAGTGAATGTACAAAATCATAAACCAAAATGGCACTGATTTGAATTCGATCACAGCTTAAATTTCATATCAACTTTGGATCTATCAGTATGACGATTTGGGAATAGGAAACGTTTCATCCTTATTTTTATATTAGTAGTTTGGATTTCTGTCATCTTACTCTTTCGAATTCTGTTATTACTGTTAATAATCAGTAGAAAATATAATAAACTTTTGGTTTTATTTCGAGTGCCATTGTTATTTTTTCTACAGCTTACTTTACTTTCCTATCTGTTATTGTGCTGTAAATTTTCATTATTATGTTGTGAATAAAAATTCTGTGTACAACTTTGCAGGTAGAACCCGGGACAACTGCCCTTAATCTGATCATGAAGTTATTAAATGCCCATTTGTCTTCACAACAAAATCCAAAAATTAACTATCGTCAAATAAATAAGTCATATCTTGCTCTTGCAGAACTTCAAGATAAACTACACAGTATGGATAGTCAATTTCCTCCCGTTCCTTCACCTTCTCCACCTAATGGACTCAATGTCCCAAGCTTACCTAAATCCCACATTTTTAATGCACTTATAAGTTCAAGCATGGGAAATCACTACGACTCTTCTCAGTTAAATAATATGGATAGCAACATTTCTAAATCCAGTAATGCTTTACCGTCTGTAGACAGTTTACGCAGACTTCATGAACTTATTGTGGCGCACCATGCCCGTTTATCAGTGAGTGTCACTAATTTAGTACGAACGTGGCTTACTCGGGCTGATCTTGTCCAAGTTGGATTAGTGTCACCTTGTCAGTGGATAAGCGTACGTCAGTGTTCTGCTTCAGTAAAATTTTCTTGGCCAAATGAATTAAGCAATCCAAAGTTACAACCAAGTCGTGTAGTTGCACCCATCTTGATTTTAGTTCATGGTCGAATAGCACCTCCTGCTTGTTACGATGTTTGGATGGATGATGATGGGCCTTGTGTTATAGAACGCGTTTGTCTTGATCAAACATATAACCAGAGGGCATTAAATCGAATGCTGTTTGTAACTACGTTATATCCACTTGATTGGAATTCATCAAAACCTCAAGAACATGAAGTATCAATCGACTTCAAACCAGACAGTATTTCATCCATTCATTCTACACGTCCGACATGTGTTGCAATTATGATTATCGCTGCTGCCCTATCCCAATCCAATAATAAGGAAAAAGTATCACAACAGAATGGAAACGTGAATGCTATTCAATCTTCACGTTCATCTATAACTAACAGTCAACTGACTTAGAAGTAATCAAAATTCATTTGTATATGCACCACGTTTAATTAATTTAGCCTATTTCCTTTTTCTTCTCAAAAAATACTCTCAGCGAAACTAGTCAAATATATATTTTTATTATTATTTCACTCTGATTGTTTGATAAATTTAACAGAAACTAATTTTGATTGACTGTTTATACCATATACCTATGTGCTTTCCTATATATTTGCTCGTAGACATCATTTTATTTACCGTATACATTGTATCAATAGGAAATCATCAGATATATGTTACTTATACACTGCTAGTAATACAACATTCTCCAATTGTCAAATGTTTTGTGCTTACCTATGAAAATAAGTATACTTGTATGCGTATGTCAATACTGTGATCTATACTGAGATATATGTTCTTTTTCTTTCTGTTTACTTCATTTAATTTAGTTATTTCATGGAACTACTGGTTTTCTTACTGTTTCCTATTGATATACTCAATCAGTTTATGCTTTGTTTAATATATATGTCAGATTTTGAAGCCACTACCTTTCCCAGAGTTTCTCCCGAATATAAACTGACCCCACTTTTTCTCCTGAACTCAAACCTGTTTTTTTTTTGTTTTCATTTCAAAAATACTCACATACACACCTTAAGAATAAAGGAATCTTTTAAAGTAGTCTTATGTGGGTTTGTTCATTAAGTGAAAAAAATTAGTGGACATAAATTTTAATATTCTAGGTAATCCGTTTACATAATATTTTTGTTTTTGCATGAATCAATTCAACTACTTGATATTCTATTCTGTTACTTACAAAAGTTGTTATTGTTATCTTTGTTACTAGAAATTATTTCTCGGTTAATCGTTTTTCTTCTGTCTCTATTTTATTTTTCTCATATATATATATATATATATATATATATATATATATATATATATATATGAGATGTTTTTGTTCGTGGTTTCTAATATATAGATGAATATCTTGTAAACATTATACACTACATACTTCTCCAAATGCTCGTTTCTAAGCAGTAATGACATGGTTGTTACTCTCTCATCTCTTTAATGTTTCACAGTTTATTGTGTAGTCTAAATATGATTCTCAGTGTTCAGTAATATAATTTATTAGGACTTGGAAAAATTAACTTGGTGAGGAACGTTGGTAGCGTTCTTGTGAAGAGTATCAGTGACGAGTTTTACACTCGTAATGAAGTAAAAATATTGAGTTGGAGATCAGTAGATGATAATTGTCTTTTTTTTGGGGGGGGGTCAGTAAAATAAATGACGCACCTGGTTCTACAGTTGTCCGTCATTGACTTGTAACAAAACCGTTCATAGAGTAATCTAATGAATTGTCCTCAATAAAATCATAAATTTAGTTCCCTTTATTATGTTGAAAAGAGCAAGAAAGAAGAATTTGACAGAATAACATGAATTCATTTTATTTCGTTAGGTTCTCATCATCTGCTTACGACCTATAATATTTAAAATCGAAATTATTGTAAAGTTTACATACTTATAACAGTAAGAATGGATTTCTATCATAATGGTAAAGTATTGAGTGTGAAGACAATGAGTGCTGTAAATAAATATAATATGTGAGGGATAATTCCGGATCATTAGACATAGTAAAAAATAATTAATTGACTATACAATGAAGTAGTTGAACATAAATTAATAGCAATTAAGAATAACATGAGTTGAGATTAGTCAGTTAAAAGACAAATAATAAGGCTATAAATTCGAAACGAGTGATGCAAATAAAATAGGAGAGAAGAAAGTTGCTAAAATGATGTGATAAAATGACGAAAAAATCACCGTGGTAAGGATTGACTTGCAACATAAGTTCGGCTTTAGTCATTTAATAGCTATGACCTCAGGTCAATGACATTTAGGGCTTCTAGCAGTGCTATTGCAATCATCTCTGTGACACAGGACATCGTGTTAATGGACTAAAATCATTCAGCACCAGCAGTTGACAGTCGAATACCGCTCTCCTCATTCGCCGAAGCCATAGCCATTAAATGACTAAAGCCGGACTTATGTGTCAAATTGTCTACATCGATTGTTGATCTTTTGGTTAAACAAACCTCACAAGTGTTCAATTTAAGAAAATTTATTCAGTTTGAAGAAATTCTATAAACAAACCACTTGAAAAATAAACTTTGTAGATAGTAAAATAAATTAATTGTATTCAGTATAAGTTTAGTATAATTCTTATTGGCGTAAATATTCCAAATCGTTGGGTATGACTACTATCGTATTTGTATAAACTGTGTGCACACTACAAAAAATTGATGATTCATCAATCATCAGGGTTTTATGTGAATACAATTGATGCTAGTTTCATGTTAGATACTTTATGGCAGTTAGGTAAAAAATTTAACTTTAAAATGACCTACCAACAAATGTTTGGTGTTCAGTAAAACAACGTATTTGTTTTAAATACTAAATACTCGAAACTAAGTGAACTGTAGACATTATTGTTAAATATTACTATTAAATGATATAATTATTATTTCTATCGACATTACTCATTAGATCTATTTGAATAAGTAAAATAATTCGGCTCAGAAATCAATAATTGTATATATATGACGAGTTGACGTTTTTCCAATAATCAAAGCTCGAATTCCGTTACATTGAAAGCCCGTACATTCAGAAATAAAAACACTGTCGAAGTCCAAATGGAAATCTATAATATCCACTTTGTTACCACCATTAATCTTCCCTAGAGTACCATATATTGAATTTTTACCATCTTTAGGGATCCATTTAGTAAATGCTAAGATTATTTTACTTACTTCTTTTACTCCTCGTGAAGGAGCATAGGCCGCACACAAGCATTCTACATCCAACCCTGTCCTGGGCAATCCTTTCCAGCTCTTTCCAGTGTTATTCATCCTTCTCATATCTGATTTTATTTCCCGACGTAATTTGTTCTCCGGCCTTCCCCTTTTCCGCTTCCCTTCAGGATTCCAAGTTAGCACTTGTCTCATGATGCAGTTTGGTGATTTCCGTAATGTATGTCCTATCCATTTCCATCGTCTTTTCCTAATTTCCTCTTCAAATGGAAGTTGGTTTGTTCTCTCCCACAGAAGGCTGTTGCTGATGGTATCTGGCCAATGGATGTTGAGTATCTTGCGAAGACAGCTATTTATAAATACTTGTATCTTCTTGATGGTGGTTGTTGTAGTTCTCCAAGTTTCAGCTCCGTACAGCAGAACTGCCTTGATATTCGTATTGAAGATACTCACTTTGATATTGGTTGAAAGTTGTTTTGAGTTCCATATGTTCTTCAATTGCAGGGATGCGGCCTTTGCTTTGCCAATCCTCACCTTTGCATCTGCATCTGAACCTCCTTGTTCATCGATGATGCTTCCCAGGTATGTGAAGGATTCTACATATTCCAGAGTTCCGCCATCAAGAGTGATTGAATTGATGTTTTCCGTGTTGTATTTGAGGACCTTGGTTTTCCCCTTGTGTATGTTGAGGCCTATTGATGCTTAGACTGCTGCTACACTGGCTGTCTTTATCTGTATTTGTTCGTGTGTGTGCGATAGGAGGGCTAGGTCATCTGCGAAGTCTAAATCGTCTAATTGGTTCTGAGCTATCCATTGTATTCCGTGTTTCCCCTCAGATGTCGAGGTCTTCATAATCCAGTCAGTCACCAGAAGAAAGAGGAAGGGGAGAGTAAGCATTCTTGTCTGACTCAGGTCCTCACTTGGAATGCAACTGTCAGCTGTCCTGCATGCACGATTTTTCGCTGTAGTCCGTCGTATGCCTCTCTAGTTTTCACATTTGCTCAGATCTCCTTTCTTTGGAATCTTGGTGAGGTGTCCTTTTTTCCAGTCCGTCAGCACTTGTTCCTCCTCCCAAATCTTTTTGAATAGAAGGTAAAGCATGCTTGTAGTTACTTCGATGTCTGACTTCAATTCTTTGGCTGGTATATTGTCGGGTCCTGCTGCTTTCCCGCTCTTGATTTGTCTGATGACCATTCTGATTTCTTCCGTCGTTGGTGGAGTGAGATCTATAAAAAGATCTGTGTGTGCTGCTTCGATGTCCGGTGGATTCATTGGAGTCGGCCTATTCAGAAGTTCCTCGAAGTACTCTACCCGTCTGTTCCGCTGTTCTTGAATTTCAGTGATTGGCCTGCCTTCTTTGTCCTTGACCGGTCTCTATGGTTTACCATATTTCCCTGATAGTTTCTTCGTTGTATCGTAAAGCTGTTTCATATTTCCTTCTCTTGCAGCTTTTTCCACCGTCGTTGCTAGTTCTTCCACGTATTTCTGCTTGTCGGCTCTAGTGCTCTTCTTCACTTGCTTGTTTGCTTCTATGTACCCAGCTTGTGCTTGGACTTTCTCTGCTCGTGTTCGGCTTTTGTTAATTGCTGTATTCTTGTTCTTCCTTTCTTTGATCTTGTCCAGTGTTTCTATAGAGATCCATTCCTTATGATGATGCTTCTTGATGCCCAGAACCTCTTGACACGTTGAAGTTAATGCTTATTTGATGCCTTTCCAGTTGTCCTCCACAGTAGTTTCTTCTTCCTTCAGTAGATCCTGTAAGGCTTGGGACCTGTTGTTAAGAGCTATCTTGAATTCGTTGAATTTGTTAGTTTCTCGAAGGAAGGCTGTATTGAACCTTTGTAGTGCTGTTTGTCCAGTTGTCCAGTTCTTTTTGGCTTCAGTTTTAAATTGGCCACAACTAGGTGGTGATCTGAAGCTATTTCAGCTCTTCTCCTGGTTCTCACATCTTCCATTGTCCTTTGGAACTTTTCATTGATGCAAATATGATCTTTCTGGTTCTCTGTAGTGTGGTCCGGTGAAATCCATGTAGCCTTGTGTATGTGTTTGTGTGGAAATATTGTGCAGCCTATGACCACTTTGTTGAATGCACATAGATTTGCAAACCTTTCTCCATTTTCGTTTCTCTCTCCCAGTTCATGTCGTCCAATGGTATCTTCATATTCGGTGTTGTCTATTCTGAATTTGGCGTTTAGATCTCCCATCAGAATGGTGAGGTCGTTTCTTGGGCACTTCTCTATGATTGATTGCAGTCTCTCATAGAATTGATCGTTAATGTCGTCGTTGCTATCATTGGTGGGTGCATAGCATTTAATAATATTCATTGTGATCCCCTCCTTCTTTGTTTTGAATGATGCTTTGATGACTCTGGATCCATGAGATTCCCATCCTACAAGTGCATTTCGTGCTACTTTGGACAGCATTAAAGCAACTCCCTGAGTGTGTGGAGCATTTTCCTCTTCGTGACCGGAGTATAGCAGCATCTCTCCCGTAGCTAGCCTTTTCTGTCCAGCTTGGGTCCAGTGGGTTTCGCTGATTCCCAGTACTGCTAAGTTGTATCTCCTCATTTTCGTTGCTAGTTGACTGGTCTTCCTGGTCTCCCACATTGTCCGTACTTTCCATGTACCTATAAAAATTGTTGCTCTGGTTGTTAGAAAGGACATCGGCCTCGTGGCTTCCGAAGGAACTCGGCTTTCACCATAAGGCGTCATAGTTCTTCTAAATGTAGATCTTTTAACTCCCATGGCAGAGTTTAAATGGTTTGAATTATTTCTTCTGGTAAGCGTTTTTTTAGCGAGTTAGTTTTCTATGGGATGGGGTCGCTAACCCCATGCCAAACCCTCCTCCTTTACCCGGGCTTGGGACCGGCAGTAACTGAAGATTATTTTACTAGGGTACCTATTTCTGGTATGTAATTATGTTTCGTCTATCACACTTGTTTAGTGGTCAGTTAGATTGGGTAGTAAAATTCTTCAAGCATCAGTAAAACTCAACAACTTTGATTATGAACTTTTGTTAACGATAATCTGTGAACATCTATTTTTAGCCTAAAA